GAGTGATACCGTGCGAGTGTCAACCACCTATCAATATCGATACCGATATTCTCTCTCTCTCTATTTGATCACGACCGTAGGAAAGGAGCATGCTTGCCTACCCGAATACAAAATTTATCAGGATCAAATTGGGATTCTTCATTCCTATCTTTATCTTTACTGAATACAGTATCATATTTGGTTAGAAACTGCCATTCGATTCATGCGATGACAGTCGTATAACCAGTCAGCATTGCGGAAAAGTGGTTTCATCCTATGTTCGGGATGAGAATGGGATTTTCAACTGGTATCGTACTTGGATATAACCTATTTCGGGAACTTTGGGTATTCTAACTGGAATCTATGCTGTACATATGAAGGAAAAATCTGAGAACAATTCTATGCAGGTGGTACGAAAGTCGCGGCATTCCGATTCGTGATATCGCGCGGCACGTTATTTTACGAGTCATTGATAAGCATAACACGCATACCTTTCTTAATCGCGGATTGTTACGCTTGTATAACCGGCATTTACGCGCATACGGTCGACGCATGCGATACCACCGCGGCGGTACGCTCGCGAATCCGCGGAACAATACCGTCGGAAATTCCGCGAACTCGTCCTATTCCCTCCCTCGTGAGTCTGCGGATTCTCCTCCCGCGCTTCCCCCTCGTCTAGACGTGCGTTCGATCTCGATTCGATATACGAATGTTTTTCCATCGCCGACGGCGACGTGATTCGACGTCACGGGAAAGGTATTCGACGCGAAAGGAATTTCCACGGCCGAATCCGCGGCTAATCACCGGTGGTCGCGACGCTGTCGGTGTTTTTACGTCGTGCTCCGGGAGAGTCGTCCCAGCCGATGTAATTGAGACTGATGAGCGTGGATGCGCGATAAGGGCCGCGGCAGGACGACGTGTGTCCGTCCGACGCTCGCCCTCGGTCGCGCGCGCTCGCCCGTCGCACCTTCGGAGTCGCGGTATTGGCGCAGTCTCTCTCTCTCTCTCTTGGCAACCGACAGCGAGAACCCAGGAATGCCATTTGTCGCGCGAGACGTTTGCGTCGCGCGCGTCATAGTTTCGCACCTTTATCGGCATAAATTGCTGCTCCCGGCCGCGGTCAAACCTTCGTGGAATTTCAACGCCGTAGCGCAATTTGGCGCACGCGACGATCAGCGGGTTCCGGCCATACGACAATGTAGCCTGGAATGCCATAAACGTCCGACCGCCTTGGGAATTTTCAGCATTTTGACGAGGGCGCGTCGTCGTCCTTTCGACGGTTCCTCCTCTCGCTCCTGCCGTTCCACGCAATGGCCGCCACCCTCGCGAGAGACGGGCGATAAAGGACTTTGCTCTTCGTGAAAAAATCGCGCCGTTAATCGTGACCGTTGTGTAGCGTTCAATGCGAAGAAAAGAATACTCTTTTAACCCTCGAGTATTCTCAAGGTTCAACGGACTGATGAAGTTACTGCTTCGGGCAATTTTAATTATTCGTAAGGACTGATATTTTTCATGACTTCTATGCTTCGTCGTCCGGAGGTCTTTCCAGAGGGAAAAATTTTACCTTTTCTCTAACAGAGCGAAACTTCTTTTATCTATGGCGGTTAACGAGTTTGTGCAAATCTCGTGGCTCGTGATTTTCCTCTTTCGCAATATATAAGACGCACACATGAAAAAATAGAGAAAAAAACTAGTTAGTAACAACGTGGTATCGCGTTGCGTAACGCGATTGAAATGTTTTGCATTTATTTTTTTAACCTTCAGATATCTTCAGAGTAAATTATTCTCCTAGGTATTCTTACTAAATTCAATTTTAATTTTTGTTTTAGGCAATTTTAATTATTCTCAAGGACTGATATTCTTCATGACTTGCCTCCTGGAGTTCTCCCAGAAAGCAGAGAAAAAATTTACTTCTCTTTGACAGAGTAAAAATCACTTTACCTTGTAATTATTGTACAGTGTGGCGTATTGAGGGTTAACGAGATCGTGCGAATTTCACAACTCGTGATTTTTCTTTCGCAATATATAAATAAGATACATACGGTAAACTAAAGAGATAATAACAACGTTGTGTCGCGTTGCTTAGCGCGAAATGAAATATCTTGCATTATTACAACGTTGCGTAATCCAAGTTCCGCACAGCGTAGCTTCGAGTAACGTAACAATTTGAATCGCGTTATTTCACAGTTAGACAGGAAAAGTAATCACGATACGTGGCGTGCGTGTGTGCTCGCGCTTCTTGTAGCGCGACAGGCTGTCAATCATCTCGTTAACATGCATTTGCGTCATTACACTGCGACGCAATATAATTCAAGCTAGGAGCAGGCTCCGTTAGCAGCTTGCGGCGACAACGGTTAGGAAAATGTAGCGCGCGCTGATACTGACTAATTAGAGGCGAAATGAAAATGGACAGTCACCGGATTGACGCTCTTTTCTGGACGTCGCTCGCAATTCTAAATATAATTGCGCATCACCGCGAGAGAGAGAGAGAGAGAGAGAACGCGGTAATAATGAACGAGAGGCGATAGAGACACCGAGAATTTGCACCTATCGCATGTAAATTGAACAAAAATAAATACTGTACAAGCATAAATGTTAACAACGTTAGTTACATAATTAAAAGATCTGGCAGAATATTTCTTTCTCTCTCTCCCTCTTTCTCGTATTGCAGTCATCCAATTATCGTGTATTTCCGTTCTTTTCTATCTGTACCCTCTCAATTATTCCCGGCCCTTCCCGTTACTTTCTGCCTTTCCCCCGATCTCTTTCACGCCGGATCGTTAAAGCGGGAAGCACGTGCTTCAACGACGATTCGAGTCGACGGGCCGCGAAGAGCATTATAATATAATAAGAATCGGATTAGCATTTTGAATGGGGCGGGTGGCGGCGGGAGTTTGTCGAAAATGCGAGCCAATAAGAGCGGGACTTTTACGACTCTTTCGCTCCTTGCACGGTGGTCCTTCTTTCTAACGAATAGAGAGCTTGAAATAGGGAACTCGTGTTAACATCACGTGAGAATCTATCTCAATTACTACGAACGTCCATCTTCCCACATGTCGAATGAGGAACTAAATGAAACATTCCACGGCTGCTCGTCCGTTAATTATTTCTTTTTTTTCACGGTATCATTAATATCGCCCGCGAAATCTATTTGTTATATTCTATTTTCTATTTCGCATTCCGTAAATAGGAAGTTACACTTTTAACCTCAGACATATACGCGTAAAATAAAAAAATATAATTAGATTCATTACATAACCCCATCATTACAATTAGAGTTATTTATCAACCGATATTCAACCTCTTTTAAGTTACGTATAAGGCTGAAAATCGTCTAATTTCCCGTCTAGGGAATAGCATGTGAGACGTCAATCACATGAGAAGTCGGCAACGCGTTTAAATGATCATTCCTCGATAACCAGGGCATTTCCGGCGTTCCTTCAAATATAACCGCGCCTTTAACACTTACAATCCTTACAGGACTTGGCCGAAAGCACAAATTACGTGCGAAATGAACTCTGTATATATTTGAGCCGCACCGAGTGCACGCGTCGAGCGGCGGCATAAATGCCCCGGATCATAGAATGAGCGGATCATATGCCCGCGCTTTTGGAGCGGCCTGTATAAGGGATAATTATAGTCGTTAGAGGTGCTATTGCATTAGCTTGATGGACTGCGCCGAGGCCTGGAGTGTCAAGTTAGTGCCACCTCGCTGTCGCGCTCCCTAATGCGCGCCGCATGCGCGCAAGATTTGGGGCGGGCGCGCGCGCGCGCCCACGATTATTGCTACCTTAATGCAGGCGAGCTCGTATAATCGGTTATACTAGACGGTGTGTGCGACCTCTGTATGTATGCGAGACTCGTAACAATAGTCCGAGGCGTCGACACCGGACCACCCGCAGTTCGCCATTAAAGCCGCTTCTGAAAAGAAGAGAAATAAAGACGAAGATACGTGCGCGCCGGTGCGCGTCGCCGAGAGGGAGAGACCCACGGCGATGTGAGACTAAAGGCCGCGACGAGGCGGAGGAGAAGGAGCGAGAAAGAGAGAGGCCAAGGACACTCGTAAGGGCCTTCGAAAATCGAAACGAAGGGTAGCCGAGCGGGGAATTAAGAATCGGGCTACGAGGACGCCGACGACGATGACTACAACGACGACGTAGACTACGACGACTAGTAGTTGTAACACGAAACTCCGTGGCGCCAGAGGCCACTTCTAAGCCGCTGCACTAATAATATCCCCCATTGTGCTACCATTAGCCGCCACACAACTTGCCGACGCCGCGTTTCTTCCCTCTTCTCACCTGCGCTCCTCTCTCTCTATCTCGCTCGCTCTCTTTCTCACCTTTTTCTCTCTCCCGTATCTAACCTCCCACTCTTTCGCCGCTTCTCTTTTACGGTGCGCCTTTACGACGCGTCGTCTGCTGACGACACCGCGCCACGGCGTATTAATATACCGACTAACTGACGTCTGTCCGTGACAATGTTTTAGAGATGCCTCTGGTTAACCCGCGGCCTTCTTCCTCTCCCCGCCTTCTCTCTTCCTCAGGCGCAGTCCTCGTCGCGGGATAACCCGAGACGAGAGCAAAGGACGCCTGAAAGGCTTCTTTCAGGGGCATTTATCGCGCGCGCGTATAATCTTTTTAGGGTTACAAGCCGCTCGCTGTTAGGTCAAACAAATATTTATACGGTCGGCGCGATTCATTGTAGTTCCGGTCTGTCGGCGGGAGCTGTGACGGATCGTCCGAGCGACGAATTCGCCGGGGGTGATTCGCCGGGGGGAGGGGAGTGATCTACGATGACTACGATCGGCGACGAGGGTCGTTGTTATATTCTCTTCCTCCGTGGACTCACGCGATTCCCCCGCTGCGAGCGTCTCACGTGCGATCTCGAATGCGACACGTCGCGCGCCTTCCGAACTCCGCGAAGCCGCTCGCGCACCCGCAGTCTCGGGGAATTTATGCGCGCGTGACGCGACGACGTGCGAAATAAATTAACGCTTATCATACACGGTGCTCTTACAGGGTAATCCGTACGGACTGAAGGACGCGACGGGGATGGGCATGACGCCGGACATGGGTGCTGCCTGGGGCTCGGCCGCCCTTCAACCTGCCCCCGCGGGTTACTACCCTTACGATTCAGCCCTGGCCGCCTACGGGTAAGTTTATCGCCAGGTTTCATGGTCTCTCGGCTCCATTAGATTAAACCACCACCGGGAGAGAGCGAGAGAAAGAGAGAGAGAGAGCCACCGCCTTTCCCCTCGGCCTCCCCGCTCTGTTTTACTTACCCTCTCGGTGCTGCCATTAAAACAAGAGTCACGATCCCGTACTCGTCGCGGCGTACACTCCGCCAGAAGCGTTTCCGCGCGCGACCACGGTTATCGTTATCGCGAATTCGTAATATCTCTCCCTTGTTCGCGCACCTGGAGAGGTGGGTGCTCGCTTGTCGAGGCGCGTTGAAATTGCACCGGTATTATCGTATCGATAAAATGGAAGAGAGACAATTTCGCGACTCGCTCCTCCTCGCGGTCGACGGGGTCTCGTGGTGATTCTTAATTACTTCGTGCGTTTGTTAATTACAACGTGATCGTTTGATGCCGCGGGAGTGGCAGACATACTCAGCGTCCGTCGCGTGGAAGAGCAGGTACGATTTCAGGAATGGCCGATAATCGTCATCGATCGAGTCGGCTTTCGGTCATTCGGCGGTGGTCGCGATTTCCGAATTCTGTCGAGCTCGAGGGGGTTGAAGGTTCACCGGCTCGCTCGAGTTAGGCCAAACACGGCGGACGGCTACAAAATGGCTGTAGGCAGCCGAGTGGGCGTATATAATGGAGGCTTCCACGTTGGACGTATATACTGCACGTGCACGGGCACACACGTGCACATTTATACGACATAGACGAGCGAGCGAGCGGGCGGGCAGGCGGACGAGAGGGAGCGCGCGCGCGCGCGCAAACACACGTATCGCCACATCGCGAGCGTAGGGAGAGCAGTAGGTCTCTCTCCGTAGGAGAGCGAGTGAGTGAGTTTATTGATTGGCTTCCTCCCCGGGGTTGGCTCGCCCGGCCTCTCTCTGCTCTGCTCTACTCCACTCTACTCTCGACTCCGCCGCGTTTCTCCTCTCGCTCTCTATCTCGCCTTCCCATCTTTTTCCCTCTCTGGCTGCAAATCCCTCTCTCTCTCTCTCCTTCTTCCTTGCCGCCCCCGTCTGCCCCGTCCCGCCCGCGCGTTCTCCTCGCACGTACGCTCTCCCCGCGTCCGTCTACTCCCTTTCGACTACTTCCCCGGCTACCTCCGTATCCTCCGAACGAGTCGGCTCCCACAGGTGCTTTACTTGCCTCGCTTAGCAACCCTCGTGTCCGCCTAGTGAACACACACACGCACGTGTACACACAGGCACAACTACACACGCGTACATTCATGCCTCGACGTTCACGCATAGGCAGAGGCGCGCTCGCAGTGACTCACGCAACGGGAGGCTTTTCCTCCCTCTTCGGAGCCACCCCTTCCGGGCTCTATAGCTTGCATGTGCTCGACGGCGGCGGCGCCTACCAGAGAAACTCCGACGGTAGGCATTGTTTATCGTGGAATTCAGCGCCCTTACTCTCCGCTTTCTCTCCCCCTTTCTCGCCCACCTCCTCTTCCCCCTTCTCCTATCTCTCTCTCTCTCTCTCTGTGTCTCGTTCTCTCGCCACTCCCGGACAAGCCTCTATTAATTTACTTGCTTAATAATACGACGGCCCTCTCTCGTTCTTCTCTCCCTCTCATCTCTGCAGCCGGTCGCCGCTCTCTTCCCTTAACGGGTTACGTGCCCGTCACTTTCGACGCCGTCGGGCCGCTATTGTTTTATCGGCGGCGGCGTTGAAAGTTGCGGACTGTTGTACGGCGACACAAGCACCGAAGGGTGGGGTGGGTCGTGTGCGCGCGCGAGGGCGGAGGGTGTAAATTGAAGCGGCTCGATTGGGAGGCTTTGACGCGAACGCTCTGATTACAGGAAATGAGAAATACGTCGTTACCGGCCCCGCGAAAGGGTTCCTTTGGGGGCACTTGGGGCGGCCAGGTGTCTCCTTCTTTTTTCCTGCCTTTGCGTAAATTGACGGAGTTTTCTCTCCCCGTTTTTCCTCCGTTCGCGCGCCGAGCCTTATAACGTCCTGTTGGTTATTATTGGATGATGGATGGGGAACGTGTCCTCCTTGTTCTGCGCGCGCGGTAAGGCGTAATACGCGGCGCAAATATTTAAATCGTCAATAGAGCGTCGCAGACACTGTCGTCGGCGTCGTCGTCGCGCGGCCACCGATAACGACGGCATTAACAGACGGCGGGGTTTTTGCTCTTCCCGTTCGCGGATTGGGAACTTTTACAGATCAATCCCGATCAAGCTCGCGCTCGTCCACGACGGAGAGTCGAACGCCGACGCTTTTTCCACCGGCTGAGAGATAGGACACCGTGTCAGCGAATGCGCGCTGCTACTAACTTAATTTCCGCCCGATCGGGGGATACCGCTTTTTTCCGCGACGACGATCGCTTACAGTCATTGACTATGTTGGGATCATAGAAATGCGCGGCCTTTTTCCGCAGCAGAATCGCCTTTGATTCCTCGTAACCGGTTACTTATTTCCTTCTTCTCCTGAACAGTTGTCCGAAGAAAGATGCCTGAACCGGTGCGATTCCGGAAAAATGCTCGACACGCCGATTTATGGGACACACACATACATGCGGGAGTTGCGCTTTACCGGCCGACAAAGCAAAAAGATCATCCCGATGTCTCGCGTTTTGATAAACCGTGTGAAATCAAACACGTCGTTGTAGAAACTATTTCGAATGGCGCAAAGGAGAGTTGCCTAAATTATACCAGTCGCCTAAATCGTATCTCATCGTTCTTTTTGTCATTATTGGATATAAGCGATCCAGTGGTAAATATATTAAATAAATGAGCAATGGAAAACACAATCAAAACTCGCGCGAACTGCATAGGTACATTCTTCTGTGCGACTTAAACACTTGAAAGATAAATTAAACAGCACGATTTTGGCGACTCGCTTCTACACACATACCATCCGCGGTATATTATTCGGGATATTATTCGATCGTCCAACATCCTAGATTAAACGAGGAGTTGAATTATGATCAGCATCGTAACTTAAAATCGCAACTGCTAAAACGACATCCGCGAGCGAATACACGCGTTGAAGCCCCGTGTTGCCGATTGATCGTCAAAACAGCGGCCACGTCCTTCCGGCTTCTCTAACCCTGTCCTCGGAGCGGCGAAATCGATGATTAGACGCAGACAGCATATCGGCCCATCGTAGAACGCAGCGATTGCGAGTGCAGGGGGCGGATCTTGTCGGCGGCACTATGGAGCAGACGCGGTCGTAAGCTATACGTGCTTGTACGAGAAACAGAGGGATAGAGGGGTGGGGGGAGGGAGAGAGAAGAGAGATACGTAGATTGGCTGGTCGGTCGGTAGGAAACGTTTGCACATCCGAACCCGGGCGTAACTATTGAAGCTATATATATATATATATATATACACGGTTATACGAGGTTGGAGGACGTAATTACGCGCGTTCTGCCAATATTGGTTAACCTTTCGAGGTTGACGCCACCATATGCAAAGCCTCTAATGAGTCGCTCGAGTGCTGCCAATGTCTAGTATTACGCGCTCCTCTACGCACCCTTTCACATCGTTATTACTCGCCGTAGATATTCGACGATCCTCCTCCTCCTCTTCGTCCTCCTCCGCCGCCGATGTCCCGCTTCCACCCGCGCCAATTTCGCGTTTCGCGTATAATACGCTCCGCTTCACCCCCGCGTCCTCCTTCCCGCGCGATCCGCACGATCGCGTGTCTAAATCGACGTTAATCCCCCCCTCCATCCGGCTGCGTATAAAAATACGCGACGCGATAAACGGCGGTTTATTTCGTTATTACGCGCCAAATTACGAATCAATTTGCTGTAACCGATACCAGCAACGTGGCCCGATATCGGCGATTATACCAGCGGCCCTCCGAGCGACGATTGACCGATCACGAGGTGAGACGGTGTTCGCTCGCGTATCTGCTCACCGTTAACTTCGGATTAAAGCTTGAGATATTTTAACGCGACTCACTCACACGGATACCGCGTGGCTAACGACCAAGTCCGTTGGAGCGCACGGGGACTGACGATTGTAATTCACACGCGGTAATCAAGATACGTCCGATACGTGCGTTTCGTCGGCGCAAATTGTGCGTTAGATGGCGCAAGTACACGCTGAGTACTCCGAGAACGTTCGCCGGTTCCGCTTCAGCATCCAAAGGCCGAGTGAAAAAGAGAGGGCGGGAAAGGGAGAGGGAGGGAAAAACGATAAGAGCGTGTCGAAGAATTTTTACGATGGCAGATAACGTCATTCACTCGCGTAATCTACCAGCCTGTGTGAGCTTTCGTGCTATGAGCGCGGCGCGACGGAAGGGGGCGGGGGGGGGGGGGGGTACGCAGATTTTTATCCGCCTNGGGCGGGGGGGGGGGAGGGTACGCAGATTTTTATCCGCCTTCGTTTACAATCCCTCGGAATACATAAACCGCCATTTACGAGCCGCGTCGCTCATTGTACGTATCCGCCGTTTTAATTTACAACGACGCGCGTCACGAGCGATGCTTTCGCAGTCAGGACGAGACGTCCTTCTTCCTCCTCCTCGTGCTTACACGTTGACGACTGTCATAGGTCACCCCGGTGACCGACATTACGATTCCGCAGCGTCTCGTTAATTTACGGTTAAGTAATTTATTACTTATTACTATTATGCAATTAATTGTACGTGGAGAAATAACTATGAGGTCGATGAAAGTAGCTAACATGTATATGCATCGGAAAATGTACATATTTGCCGTAACTTTGATTATTCAGACTTTAGTCAAGCTATGGAATAATTAATGCACATCAAAGTGGCATTCAACGTGTGTGTGTGTATGTGCGTACATATTTGTTGTGTGCTAACAGATCGCGGACCGAATATACAATTGTAATATTTTAATCAAACTTAACATATATAGTGTCAATAAATATATTAATGATGTTTTTCGGTATGATGTTTATCAAAACATTGCCCCTTGCGAAAAGGGAATAGAAATGGAGAAATATAAATCTAGAAACTTACGAGAATACCAAAGTTTAAAGGAAAAGAATTTACAAATAGAACGTACAGAAGCACCGCGTTCCAGCTCGAAAAAGAGCGAGCCGATATCTTTCACCCCCAGCAACGCTTCAAAAACTAAAGACGTCGACTCACTCGATTTTTCGACCCGCATAGATTGAACAAATTTTTCGCGTCTCGCTTCTCCCTCCCTTCGCTTTCTATCGCGCTTTCGATTCGCGAGTCTGCGGGGCCACCGCAGATGGAAATCCCAATACCGTCCTGAGCACGCCAAACAATGGCGCGGGATTTTTCGCGAACGCGATCGAGAATCGACCTCTCCGAGGAATAGGGACGGGGGAGGGACCGTGGTGTGCGCGTTATTGTCGCGCGTCCCGCGGGCTTTTTACTCCCGATTCGCCGTCGCATCTGCGTCGCGCGATCCTATGACGCGTCCGCGCGTATTGCGAGAGGCGCGATCGCGCCGATACATCCGCGCGCGATTCTCTCCCGGCACGCAACGGTACACTTAGTATGTAAATGTCGAGCGAGCTCGTCGTGTATGTAGATAATTGCGCGACACAGCGCGCCGGCCCGGGTGTGTGGGAGGCAGTCGAAATTGCGCATATTAATGAGGGGCTCGAACTTTGATTATATCTCGAAGCGTCGGGGGGCCACTGTCGATTTCGGTCGGGCCTCGTCGCGCCTCAAAACACACGCACACACACACTTCGAAATAACGTATAATACTATAGTCCCACCATAGTCATCTTTCCTCAATGAATTCGCCAACGTCGTCATCTTTTCGTCGTTAATGCCGTCGTGTATCCGATAGATGCACGCGTGAAGACGCCGGAAACCGCGTCACCTTGCGCTTCTGAGTGCCCGGCGAGGACAGATTATATGTTCTGAACGAGAGCCGCGTTATTCCCGACCGCGGGTACGTGCTGCGTTTTATCGTCTCGCCTCTCTCGCGAATCGCCCATGTGGTCTCGCGACCGCTCGCTCGCTCGCCTATCTCGCCGGCCTATCGAAATCGATAGGGCACCGTCGAGGACATGGCCGCTTTCCTGCGGTAGCTGGAACGTGGAGGAACGGAGGACCGCGGTCGGAGAAGAGCAAAGAAGGAGAAGAAGGAGAGGAAAGGATAGCATAGGGGAGAGAGAGAGAGAGAGAGAGAAAAAAGAAACGTCGAAGTCGAGAAGAGGCTCGTTTCACTGGCGGCGTATCTCGGCGGCCGCCTTTCCCTTGTACGAGGGAGTTTAATAGAGGGTGAAACGTCCTCCACCTTCTTCGAGTCAGCTTCCTGCTGCCTCCATCCCCATCGACGCGGTCATCTCTCGGCAATCTCGGATACGGACTGCAGCGATCCGCGGAGCTGCAGGGGGGTGACTCGCGCAGCCTTGTGTTCGTTGAGTGAAAGCGGGAAACCTAATCGTTCGCTATTCGTTCGATTTACCTCAATTTCCACTTCTCCCTCTCTCTCTCTCTCTCTCTCTTCTTTCCGCGCTCCTCAGCTTCCGTACGATTTCTCCAATGATTTGGCTGGACGCGCCACTCGTCTAATTCGATTACTCACCGAGCGGAGAAAGCCGATATAGCGTTCACCTTTAATAAATGACCGTCGCAACGAAAATAGGGAATCGCGTCGACGCGATTATCACCGCGACTATTGCGCGACACCTGGCTTTTGGGGATCGCGGATCGAGCGAACGCGCGACCAACGTCGTCGTCGTCGGTTCTCGACGAAAACTCACGAATTATCCCGCCCGTCTGCGTGTGGCGAGCCTTAATTCGTCCATCTATTATTGCCCGGCAGATTTGCGCGATTCCTATAAACAAAAAGTCGATTCGTTTTGCGGCCGGCTGATCGGTTACCGATATCGAACCTCTCGTTCTCTGTGTGCTATCGACGTCGCGAAAATTTTCGCCAATCCCTCCGCGCCTCCGTTCCCGCGAGAGGCAACAGCGACATCATCCCGGCAGGATGCGTTCCGCTCGCGGCGAAACATCGTCGCCAACCAGCAGCAGCACCAGCACACCACTACCACCGACTCTGCGAAACACCGGCTCGTCCATCGTTTCACAGCCGATGGATCGTCGATAGATATTTTAGCCCGTGGTATATAACGGTATCCACCTATAACATACTCGCGCCGAGGTTCTTCGTCGGGGAGAACAGGAACAGGGAGGAAGAGGTAGAGCTGCCGAGAGAGAAGGAGAGAGCGAGAGCGAGAGAACGAAAGGCGGGGGGTGGGCGAGAGGATCGATCGAATCGCCATTACGGCGAGTGAGTGCCGGGGGTGCACGATGGAATCACGCCGCCGCTGGGGGTTTATTCCCCGTATATATTTGCCGGAGTATCACCCTCGACCCAGTAGGATGCCGCCCCCTATCCCAGAGGGGTTCGATGTTCGGCGAGGCAGCGAGAGATAGAGAGGGAGAGAGAAAGAGAGAGAAAGGCAGGCACGAATCTAGGAAAGCCGAGGGCTCGCACCGAGCACTTCGGACTTGCCAAAATCTGCGGGGAATTCGCACCCTCGACACGATACCCACTTCTCGAGTGGAGTGGAGCTCGTTTCGACAAATATGGAACAATAGTTACCTTCTGCCGGGCAGGCAGGCAAGCGGTAAACGTTATTTAACGGCGAATTACTCGATCATTAATAATGCGACCGGAGTTTATTCGGCTAGGGATCGGCGGGTGATTGGTCGTCTCTCGCGATTCTTACGATTCCACCAATCAGAACGCGTGCATGTGGACGCGCCGAGTAATCAGAGACGCGCGTTGTTCGTACGGGAAATAAGAGATGCAAATCCCGCGTAAGGGCTCATCTCTCTCTCTCTCTCTGGCTGTTTGCAGCTCAGTTTGCCTCGTGTCGCACTTCCTGTTTACAGGCGGCTGTTAACTCGCGCGTAACGAAATTCCGGTGGAATTTCTCAGGGGCAGTCTCTCATTGTGGGCCGTCTTGTGCTGTCTTTTTCAGGTACGGCGCCGGCTACGACCTGGCGGCGCGGCGGAAGAATGCCACGAGGGAGTCGACGGCAACCTTGAAGGCTTGGCTGAACGAGCACAAGAAGAACCCGTATCCGACGAAAGGCGAGAAGATTATGCTGGCTATCATCACGAAGATGACGCTAACGCAAGTCTCCACTTGGTTTGCGAACGCGCGGAGACGTCTCAAGAAGGAGAACAAAATGACCTGGGAGCCGAAGAACAAGACGGACGACGACGACGACGCGGTGCTCACCGATTCCGAGGATAACAAGGAGAAGGACGATCTAGCGGCGGACAATAGAGGCGACCGAGTCGGCGAAGAGGCGAGACGGGGCCTCGACGATACCGGTGAGCTTTTTTCCGCCTCTCTCCTCTCCTCCTCCGCGACGCATCCGCGCGTACATTTCTGCACCCCCACGGCGCGCGATGGAATTTATGACTCGACGAGCGATATGCTGCCGTCGGATATACGCCGTACTCGCCGTATCCCGACGTTATCTGCGGGAACGATTTAGAAAATTGGCCGAGCCGCGACGTTGGCACGCGAAATCGCGACCTCGCGTTTGCGCTACTAACGAGACTGCAAACTACGAGCGCGGGTTAAATGAGAGGCGTGTCCGTTTCGAACGTTGCAACGGCGCCGACTTGCGAGGCGGCCTCTCTCTCTCTCTCTCTCTCTTTCTGTTTCGAGAGATGGTCCGAGGAAAGCTGGCCACTGCTGTTATCGGGAAATTTCTATCATCGGCGACGTGCGATATCGCGCGCAGAGAGGTATATTACCGTCGGTCGGCATCGGAATCGTTTCTCGAAGGTGGGTCCCGCGAGCCGATCTCTTCGACTCGGAATGTCGATGGCGTGTTTACCTCGCGTGACTAGTTTCCCCGATATCGAATACCCATATCGACCGGCGTTTCTCGTGTTGCGCGGGCATGCATTTCGCTCGCGCAATGAGAATCAGACTTACGACTTCGCTACGCTCCGAGAATCGCGCCCCCGTCGTACTTCCCGATGGCTCTTTCCGCGGTCTGCTCGCGGACGACTCACAAATATCCATTTCCGCTCGGTATGCTTCACACATAGGGGATTTCGCGGGATCTGATTGGAATTTATATACATAGAGAGGTGTTTCTCGTATAATCCCATCGAAGTAAACCGTTGTTGTCTAATAAAAGAAATATTACCGCGAACTTCCACAACATTTCCCCTCCGATTGTGGAGGAGAAACCTATATTTGGGGAAAGAATGGGACTTCCAATTGGTGCCACAGTGGGTGACCTATTTTGCGGACAAATTTGTGCATTCTGTCCTGGAACCTATTATGCCTCTGGGAAAATCTTGAGAGATTCCTATGCCGGTCTATCTCTCGATCGATATGCGGCGCTTTTAGCTTCGTCCTGTTACCTGCAGTCTCGGCAGCTTCCGCGGGACCCCGAGTCGACCGCGAATTTTACGACCGGACGAGATCCCACAGCGCCCGGGACACGCTGCGCGCGGGGTTCTCGATTCGCCGTAGGCGAACGCCGCGTTCATTAAGGATACGGCAATTCCGCCGCGGACGAGATTTAGCGACGCGGTTTCTTCGCGCCTCCGGCCGGAAACGGAGAGTTAGGAATTCGCGGTGAACCGGCGCGACGCCGGGTTCTATATCGCGGAGGCGGACATAATGGTTCACATGTGGGTAAACACAGTGACGGGTTGCGGGTTGCCGCGCGAAGAGATTAATGGCCTTCGGTTTGGTCCCCCGGTGGACCGGGCTACGCCGTTGGTATTGGTACCCCGGGCTGGAACGGGCTGCTGCCCGTGAGAGCTCGGCGAGCCTGTAGGTGTACACACGCTCGCGCCGATCTCTGTGTGAGAGAGGGAGAGAGAGAGAGAGGAGCGCGTAATTGTATGCGTGTTGGGAGAGCGAGAGGGTGCGCCCGGGCTGAGTAGCCATCCGTAGGACCATATACACTTCGTACCACGAGGTCCATATATATATATACATACGTACGTGTATATATATATATATATATATATATAAATAATATACACGTACATATACGTGTATGTATATATATATATATATATGTGTGTGTATATATATATATGCGTATGTATGGGTGTGTGTGTATACATATAGCATACGTTGCGAGTGTATATAGATACACACGGGAGAACGGTGATTCGAGGTACGGTGATGTATCGGCGCCCGCGGCGAGACGAATGGTACGGACCCTCCTATGGCCACCATTACCCCACCGCACATTGGCCAATATCGGCTTCTCTCTCGCTCTCTATTTCTCTTACTCTTTCACCCCCTGTGCACCTTCTCGTTTCACTCACTCGTCGTCCCTGCCGATTCGGGATATCTAGGTCCTGTCCGCGCTGCGTCACGCGTCCCGCAATGGCTCGTAATTTCGAAAAGACCGGCGGTGGCGAGTGGTGGTGGTGTCGCCGGTAGTGGGTGAACGCACTAGCCCGACGATGCGCGCCGACTGCGAATGGCCACGACGAGAGAAAGAGAGAGGAAGATAGTAGCGGCGGCGGTTGGGTAATTGATTCGCCGCGCCGCCGCTTTTCTCGCGAGATCGCGCGCGCGCGAAAGAGCCTCGTCGTCGGCGATCTTACTCGGGGAAATTTCGTTCGCTTCGTCGTTTTCTATGAGGATAAAGTAAGCGGTAAAAATGTACGGACATATTTTTCTCGTGTGTATGTGTGAGCGGAGGATACGCGCGCATACACTCGCGCCTTTGCTCTCGCCGTGCGGATGACCCTTGGAAATTCAGGGGGGAACTTTCGGCGCTCATGAATTTCTACGCCCGGCCTGAGAAACATAGGTCGCCGGAACTGTCAGTTATCTATATGCCCGCGAATTGAAATATTCGTATTCATGTAGGATATATATATTCAAATTCCCGTTTGGAACTCGCTATTGTTACGTAAAGTCAGACGCATGGGCGAGAGAGAGGGAGAGAGTGTGTGTTCTTCAGTTTCTTCGCCATGATCGCAGAAACATATTACGTCGGGGCCGGAAAGGGACTGTGTATTATACATTCGTGATTTGTGTGACGCGGCTAACGATCTCACCCGTAAACCCGAGTCCGATACAATTTAGTTATTCGATTCAAACACGAAAGCCACCTACGCGGCGCGAAGATTATGAGATTAACGTCTGATAAAAGAGGGTCAAAAGTTAAAGAGCCACTTGTGGACTCGACGGTAGTATCTATTTAGCTGGCCCATAAGGTTCCCTTTATAAAGGGGTGCGGATGCCCTAAACCGAAACGCTCTTTTTCTCTCCTGCTCTCTCTCTCTCTGTCAAGCCCGCTCTTCACCACTCTCTTTGTCTATCATCCTCACCACGTCTCTCTTACACTCCAGGGTGTAGCAGCACGCCCTTCGAGCTTGGGAATTATCGCTTGACGACCCATCAAGTAAACCCTCTGCCGACACATTCGAACCTCTTAATGAAATTCTCACCCCTGACTGACTGGCTGGCTTGGCTCGGCGGCTGCCTAGCTGGCTGGCTGGCAGACGGTCGGGACGATCCTGGAGTGCCCCGAGAGAGACGACGGGATGGGGAGATCGGAGAAAAAGGAAAAGGATATCCTTCCCTTTCTCTCTTTTTCACCCTCTTTCCCGCGCCCATCCTCCTATCCTCTCTCTCTCCTCGCGCGCGCGTCCCCGTTCGGCTACCCCGAGGGGAAAAACTGAAATCTCTCGCGCCCCAAAGTGGTTGAAGGCTTCGCTCCCTTTTTTTCACAGCATCCCTTACAGCTTAACTGTATAAGGGCGTAAGGGAGATATCCGTGCTCCACCACTACCGCCACCACCGTCATCACCACCGACGCTCGACGACCCTCCACGCCGTTGGAATCCCGTCACGATGACTCGCGTTCCACGTCTCACTCTCGCACATCGGGCCATTATAAACCACTAATGCCTATATTCCCCGTACGGCCGCTTTCGCGCGCTCACTTTCCGCGAAATATTCCCCGACGTGTGTGCGTGACGAACGCCGCTTGATTCTCGCCAAAATATGCGCCAATGTGTAATATATTGCCGCGATATTACACACAGAACGATTCAGCATCCGATAGTATTCATTTCCTCACGGCTACGCTCTTCACACATTTTTTATCACACATCAGTATAAAATGATCGTGACTGTGTGTATCTCGAGCTTCCCACGCGGCGCACCGCCGGGGTTCATCGCGCGGAGGCTCCGTTCGCACCGCGACTCCGCTCCGTAAGTCTAAAGATAATTTCCCCCGGACTGCTTGCAGAGCCGATGAGGCACGTGAAAGCTGAGCTCATGCAGCACGAGAAGGATCTCGAGGACGACGACGATCTCGATCTCGAGGAGGATCGTCGACGGGGCGAGCATCCCTTTCACCACACGATGCAGCACCATCACCATCATCACCAGGGTTACGGCGGTGAGGAGCATCTGAAGGAAGAAGGAATCAAGCAGGACTGCAGCGCCGGCGGCGTGCCGATCCCGGCGACGAAGCCCAAGATCTGGTCGTTGGCGGACACCGCGGCGTGCAAGACGCCACCGCCGTCTTCACACCAACAGCAATACCACCACCTGCATCATCAGCAGCATTACCCGCAGCAGCAGCAGCACCACCTGCCCAACCAAGCCCACCATCACCACTCGCAACAAGCGTGGCTCGGGGCGACGGGTGGAGGCGGCGGTAGCGCCGGCGGAGGAAGCTTGAGCTCGTTCGCTCTGCCCTCCTCGGCGGGTATGAGCCCGTCCGCGGCAGCGACGACGCCCTACTCCAGCGCTGCCGTTAGATACGGCGGCTTCCTCTCGTCCTCGTCCGGCGGCCAGCTGCACTACAACCCGAACTCCTCGTCCGGCTCGAGCTCGAGCGCCTCCTCCTCGGCGGCGGCGGGGTTTCCCGAGGTTGGCACGGACACTCCACCGCAGACGCCACCCAATATGAAGGTGGCCACGCCGAACGGAGTGATCCAGCCGCCACCGGGTGGCTACTGCCCTGGTGGCAACGCGAATGCCGCGACTAACGGCAATCCCAATCCCTACGGGGCGAGTCATCCCGGCGGTGGTGGTGGCGGTTACCTGTCGACGAGCTCGGGCTCCAGCAGCGCCTCCTCCTTCAGCTCGCGGCTGCAGAGCTCGCCGCATAAGGACTTCTCGCCGGTCGGGCAGAACTCCATTCTGCATCAGCATCAAACCACTGCCAGCTTGCCGCCCACGGAAGCTACCACTGCGTTCAAACCCTTCTACAAAGGGTGAGTAGAGAATTATTACGGTCTGATATGCGACAACGCGCGTAGCACAGCTCGGTGAACGAAACGAACGAAACTTTTCTCGCAGATTTCTCGCGAACGGGGCGTTGAGAATGCGCCGTTTCTTCGAACGGTAGAGAAGAGGAATTTGGAAAATGTGTTTGTGTGTGTCTCTTGTTACAGCTCGCAGTCGATGGGTAGCGGTTTCGTGTCACCGGTCTAAGGAGCTAGCATAAAGGTCCAGGATGACAGTCGTCTTTCTCTCGAAAAGTAAGTGTCTCACGTTCACGTCTATCTGTTTATCCGCCTGTGCGTTCTAACTTTCATTCCCACTTTTTATTCTTGTCCTTTTCTTTCTTTCTTGCAACGTCATTCCCATCGTCACTCGCTACATTCGTGCGAACGCAACAGTCGCGCGTATAATCGTGTACGTCCGTCAAAGCGAGCTCCACCGCGGAGAAATTGACTCGGGATTCTGGGTCGCTCGGTATATATGTATCGCGGTTGCGTTAATATCACGGCGAACGATGATGTTCGTAATTTCCTTTCGGCCTATAAAAAGAAGCCTCGCCGAGGAAGAGAGAGAGAGGAAGAGACAGAGAGACGAACTCTCGGTGGGGCGACGGTGGGGACGCCGGACGAGCAGCGAGGGGAGGGCGGGAGGGGTC